ATGCCAGGTGATGCGCTCATCTTGGAAGTGAAGTAAAAGCCCTGTTTAATATTTTAGCTTTGTAATGCCACAAAACAAAGCACGATTGAAAACAATGAAAGCATGCAATGAAAGCAAGCAGCAACATGGCAAATAATCAACACCTGAACTCAACGGTTCAAGCGGTCAACAATGCTTCGACATTTTCGGCCACCCAGCACCCTAAATTTTCCGGAAATTTAGGTAGCTGGGCCGTGGCTTCTGAACATGATCAAGCTGCATCCGTTTCCTAAATTTCCTGAAAATTTTGGGTGTGTAAATTTTCGGAAAATTTAGGAAAGCGATGAAGCAAATTTTCCGGAAATTTAGGGACCGAGGCTTCGGGCTACCCGGAACCAGAAATTTTCCAGAAATTTAGGGGAGCGAATCCGGCTTGCGGCCGTCGAAGAGGCCCAGCCTTTCAAAGGGCACAGCCCAAGCCCCAAAATTTCCCGCAAATTTTGGGTCCCGGGCAGGCCAAAGCGGCTTGCTCGCCGGGGTCCAGAAATTTCCGGAAAATTTTGGGGCTGGGGCACTCCGAGGCGTGACGCACCGCATAGGGCTGGTTTGACCGTAGCGTTTTATAGAGTAGATATATATACGCTTTCTTACTACCAGAGGACCTTAGGAGCACAGCACCAAGCAACTAAAGGCCAGAATACGTATGCTTTGAAGCAAGCTGGTTTGTGAAATTGTCTTTTTCTATCTTTCTTGATTCCGGCCTTCCTTTTCCTTTTCCTTTCCCTTTCCTTCCCTTTCCTTCCTTCCCTTCCTTCCTTCCTTGCTTCCTTGCTTCCTTGCTTCCTTGTTTCCTTGCTTCCTTGCTTCCTTGCTTCCTTGTTTCCTTGCTTCCTTGCTTCCTTGCTTCCTTCCTATCCTTCCGTCCTTCCTTCCCTCCCTTCTTTTCTCCCTCCCTCCATCCCATTTTCTCTTTCTCCATCGGAAGAACAGAATAAATTATTTTTTGATCCTAAATAAATTTTTTCTTGATCCTAAATAATTTTTTTTTGATCCGCATCCCCTCGTTTTCGGGCACGATATTCTATCAACCATATTATCCCTTTCGTTGCTACATCAGAAAATTGAATGATTTTGGTGATTTCATCATTTTATATGGCTTTATATTATCGACCAGCAAATTATTCAGACAAATTAGAGATTCAAATTTTTTCCAAATGGGCCTCATTTCGACGTCATTTTGGGCGTCGCTCTAGAGGATTGTATTTCTGCTATGGTTATTGTATGTTATTGTAAAGGACGTCGTTTATTAGGATTTCCCATCATTATATAGGTAAGTGAAATGGCAGGTCTCGTTGCCGTCTCGTAGTGTTTTGGACCGAGCCTCTTCCCAAAAGATACATCCAGAGTGGTCTATGGAGGTCTCTTGCCTCATAGGCCCCTCATGCCCTCAATCTCGGACAGGTCTTCAGCTATCACTCGAGTCGAAGGCCGCAAGCCGCAGCCCTCTGGAAGATTGCGCCCGCGGAAAAGCCCAGGGCATCGAAACTTCGGGCCTTGCTCTTGAAATCACAAAGCGATGTTGAGTGAAGCCAACCTCCGCGACTTGGGGCTGCATCCTTGGCTCTTGGAGGATTTCTTGACGAGACTTTGAATGATCCTCATACTTCGCTTGGCCCAGACAGGGCCAGTGGCCATTTTTCGCCGAGGCGCGCAGGCCGAGGGCGTTTGAGGCACAACACCCAGACCCCTACCCACAGAAATCATAACCATCACCGCCTGAGAGAGCACGTGCAACCTGGAAGTGAATGCACTGTATACTGCTTTCGGTTTTGGCGTGATGCTAAAACTTGTCCCTTCATCTGGCTGTTGGTGCTGCTTTGACAACTTAAATACTATACCATGATACATACTGGGCATCAAACAACGGTTGCCGTTGTCGGCTGGTGAGGCTGACAGTGAGCTTTCGACGTGTAAAACGTTGATACCTGTTTGTGATTTTCCCCGCGGCCTTGGGACGTCCTTCAGCTTCCGGCTACCGTCCATGTTGTGGTTTGAGGATGTTTGAGGCCTGCTGGCTCTCACTACACAAAAAAGCGAAAGAATACAAGGAAGGGCAAACCAAAACACAACAACACACAAACAAACAAACACACAAGCAAACGAGCAAGCAAAGAATTCCATAAACAAACAAACCAACAGACAGACAGACAGACAGAGAGACAGACACGCGCACAGACAGGGACACGGCTTGGAAGTGCAGACTCGAAATCGCTTCACATGTTCATACCTCGCCTCTGGCGCAACTTAGAACACTTCGTTGATCTAGGCTGCGAGTCAGGAAGGGTTTCATTGAAAATCTGCGGCAAGCCAAAGAAATACAAGAACAAGCAGCAGAGGCGAGAGTGGGCTTGCATAGGCTGTGCCCAGACAACCTCGGTTTTGCGAGGAAAGGTCGCGCAAGGAATCCATGGCCACAAGGTCCGGAAAAGGGGAACGCATCAGGCACTGTGCGCCGTAATGGTCTTCGATGCGAGTAACTTCCGGCATGTTCTCGGGAGCGCTTGGCTCCCAAAGACTCTGGCTCTGCGTCTCTTCTGGCAGCGTGAGCCAACCTGCCAGGATCCTTGGCATCCCAGGAGGCTTCCGGAGAGCAACCGCAAGGCAGACAAGCTTGGCACGCAATGGGGGGGCACATGGGGCACATGCGGCATATGTGGTGCTGGCCAAGCTGCCGCACCTTAACTGACAAGACAACCCTAGCAGAAACAGCGACAAGATTAAACATCCACCGTTCCTCCGTTCTTGCACTGCAATCTTACAACGATCTCCGAGGGACTCGTCCGGCTGAGAGGCGCCTGGCCTGGCAAGCGTGCGACAGAAGGCGAACCGGTGAATGTGCGGATCATTCGTCAGACGGGCTCGGGTGCTTCCACCTACCTGCAATGAGAGCTTCACCAACGTGCCTATACTAGTCACTCTCACATACGTGTATCCGTGCCGGCCCTTGCGTCTTCTGTGTGCACACATTGAGGAGGGGGTCCCTGTGGTGCATTGTTTATCGGAGTTGAAGTTGTGTCAATGTCTGATGGCCCACGTACACCATTTCACCTCGACTGGGCCCCAATTGTGTGCCGTCATAAAGCTTTAGAGTCGCCCCGTGCACATGCACTTATCCAGACTGTTCACTAATCCGAAGTCCCAAACTTTCATGAGCCGTGGCCTCATGAAGACGTTCTGAGGTGCCGAGGTTTCGGAACCATCGCGGATGAGCAGCCGAACACAGTCTGGGCGACAGCTCTGGAACATGGTTTCTATTAGTCGTGATGCGGATCAAGACCACCACAAGATGACAATTTGGTAAGGAGGAACAACACTCTTCTTTAAAGTCCTGGTTCTGAGAACACCAGTTGAATCCGTAGTCGATAGTTACGGTCAATGAGATCCGGAACCCCCAAAAAATCTACAGCATTACAGCATGAGCTGGCAGGTGGCGGAAGAATGCGACACGTGATTATTTGGTGTAGTACGTAGGGATTCGCCCTTTCAAGCTCCATCTGAAAAGTGCGAGCTGAGTTTTCATGCGAGTTTCACGTGCAGTCTTACTCAAAGCCAAGCGTCTGCAGCCTTATGCGCTCTCCGGGACGGAAGAATGCAGCCGTGTGGCCCAGAGACACCTGAGTAAGTGCCACTACTGTGCCTATGGGTGATCGTCTACTGTAGTGATCATGTTCGATGCTTGTCATCTCCTCTCTTCCCAAATCTTCCCACGTACGAGCCCTTAAGGCACCACGACATGCACTGCCAAGAACCACGCCTCGACATGGTGGCTCGCCATGCCAGATTGCACCTTCACATAAGGCTTTGACTGGAACATTTCGGGGGCCATGGGACTTCAAAATTGACACGACTTACGCTGTGCAAGTTGATGCGAGCAAAAGTGGCTTCCTCTGAGCCGCAGACCGTGATGCTTGTCAGGCCCTCACAGAGGTTCGTTGAGCGGCCATCCTTGAAGCATCTTGGTGGCGGCCCTCTTGCTGGGCGTTGTATATGATGTTGTATATGCATGACATGCACATAGAAGTACAGATGTCTGGTATGGTAAGAGGCATGCAGTCATGAAGGGCAGCCTGAACAACCACGGAATTTCTCGCTGAAGAGTCCCTTGACAGCCGCAACCAAGGAAAATGCCCAAGTTCCGACAGTGTGCCAAGTGGACCCGTTGCTTCCCAATTCCGAATTCCCAATGGTGATCTGCTGGTGCCCTTGCCGCCAAAAGCTCGAGACCCACGTGACAAAGGCGACCCAAAAAGTCGGCTTTCTCAGTCTCCCAGGCTGCCTTTGAGTCGAAAGTGGCACGGCTGCTTCGGTTGGGACAGTGTTAGGACTCACCGATTTCGGGAGCACTGTGAGCTGTAGATGCTGAACGTTTCACTCGGGACTCGGGACCGCCATAGGCTACGATTCGGCGAGGCTTTGGGCACTGCAGCTCCTGGCCTCCAGCTTCAGGTGGATCGGACCAGCGATGAGGAGTGGCGACTGCAGTGCATCGCTCGTGTAGACCAACACGTCCGATCGTGCCTCTGGGGGTGGTGCATGAGCTTTCCCAGAGCAGAACATCACCACAACACCACCGGCCTCAATCTTTGCCTGATCTCGAGCTCCGGCATTCATTGGGTTGAAGGATGGCCCTCCTGCAGCCGGAGTGGGCCTCGCTGGATCATAGAGGTAGCCTCAGCCCCAGGCATCACCACAACATACTGTGACCGCACTGGCCTTTCTTGTTCCGAGCTCCGAGTTCTAGCCATTTCTAGGCAAGCAGCTGTGCCCCAGGTCAGGCTGGTCTTCGCCAGACTCTGCCTTGCGCGCGAGTTCAAAGGCCGCGCCCAGCTGCCACACAGCCGGCAGTGCAGGTGGCGGGTAGTTCTGGTAATGGCGCCAGCCCATGCCTGCAAATTCGGAGATGGCAAAGAAGCAGTTTATCCCGATTTTAAGGTCCAAGCTGTCTAAGGCTTAAGAGTCTAAGGTCTAAGGTCCTAAAGTGCAGCCCGGACTCCTGCGCCATTCTAGATATCCGAACTCTCACAAGTGCAACTGGTATCTGAATCCAGAATGCAACAGGAAACATGGTGTTGACAACTTGACAACCCTGAAGAAAAATGAGGCTAGCAAGGGGGCTTACCCGGGATTCCAAAGGGCCAAGGTGCCCAGTATGTACAAATGGACTGGCGCGGTCAAGTCCCCTGGCCCCGCTGCCCCAGGACTGAGCTGCCTGCAAGAAAAGGATGCCCATGCTTTCGGGAGTACTCATGAATAGTGCAGGCTAGGGCGGCTAGGGCTTATCGTACGACCGCCGCAGGGATGCTTTGTTGAGGGTCTTGGGGGAACTCGTCGTCGTCGTCGTCGCTGCTGCTGTTGTCGTCGTTGTCGCTGTCGTCACTGTTTGTATGTTATTGCTGTTGCGGTCGCTGCCGCTGCCGCTGCCGGTTGTGGCTGCCGGTTGTGATTGGTGGGTTGTTTGGTTAGTTAGTTGCCCCACTCCGCATGTTGTCCATTCCACTTCTCTCATCAGCACACTGTACCATCAGTGTTGCACTTCGCACTATGACGCCTATCACCACTATCAGTGCTATCCGGCTATCCTTCATGCTGGTGTTAAGGGATGGCGCTTGGCGATTAACAAGGAGCCCGAGCTTCCCATTCAGAGTCAAACCATCAGAGAAGAAATGGCTCAAACACAAGCGCCAGATTTCGAGCCTATCTTGGAGCTTGAGGTGGGTATCGAATGTGCTTAGCAGCACCCTTTCGTAAACGTTTCCTCAGTTGTGCTGCATGATCAGCAGACATCGGTTCTACGCAACTCCACATGGCTGAGGGCCCGAACTTCTTCCTACCAGTCGTGTTCTAAGACGGATCGTGATCCTTTGATGTGCCGGGGGTCGGAAGCCCAGGAGGCTCCAGTGGTGAATCGGTGCAATCGTCAGGCTGACCTCTTGAAGCTATCACTGGATTGGGAGAGGGCAGGAGGGACCCTTGCTCTTCGGAAGCACCTGGCTTCCAGTTCTCCTCGCTTTGGCAAAGTCCTCAAGGGCACCCTCGAGGAAGAAATCGTACCATCCTTAGCTACCCTAGATTTCAAGAAGCTCGAGGCAGACAATTCGAGCCCGCGATTTGATGTGCTTTTGCTTCTTCTTTATGAGGCACTAAACTGCTGAAACATTGGAGAGACTCTTTATATAAGCCCAATATGGCATGAATGGCTTGGTATCAAAGTTTGCCGAACTTGAACCACGAGGCCGGTGAGGATGTGACATGGAGGGATGGCTCGCTCGAAGCTGCAGAGCTTTTCCTTACCCTCCCAGAAGCGGCTCGCTTCGTTCCCATGGGCAATGAGCCCATCCTGGAGGAACGAGTTCTGGGAGCCGAGAATGATCTCGTCCACTTTGCCTCACCCCAACAGCTCTGCGCTGCTGTACGTATTTCGATGTACATCCTACTGCAGGATAGGAGCAACCTCGCATTGCATGTCACTCCAAGTTTGAAGCCCCACAGGCTGATACAGGCTGATGACGCTTCTCTTCAGCCAGGTTGCCTAGCGGCAAAGACTTGAAAGCCCTGTGCAGCTTCTTCTTGCGCATCCCATGCCAAAGCTTCTTCGGCAAGGACATGGGGTCTTCATGCAAATCCTGAACAGTTCTCACACGCTCCCGGTCAAAGGCATCCATGCACAGCAGGTCAAGATATGAAGATGTGGCACCAATCCTTCATGAGGTGCAGCACGAGGTAGAACCACAGCACCACAAGCTCAAAGCTGACTGCACCACCAGGCCGGAAGACTGCGCTGCGGATGTTGCTCTGAGTGATGATGGGGACCTGTGGCTCTGTGGTTCAAGTTCAAAACCCCAAGCTGCTTGGGGGGAATTGGGGGAAGTTGGGTCTAGTGCCTTGCCTTTTCAGATACTGGGTGCCGGTACCAAGGCGCAATTGCATCCAGGTGCGACCCGTCCACGCACGCCCAGGCTGTGAAGCCGAGATAGCTGCCACCTGACATGGCCAACTGCAGGGACTACATTGACATTGCATTGGACACTGTGCAAGCCACAGATCTTGTAAGCATATTTCATATTTCCAGTTCACCGAGTTGCCAAGCCTGTAGCACCGACCTTGCCATTGCACCATGGCTGTTGACGCATCCATGCGACTGTGGCAGCTCCATCCATCTGTTCCTCCGCACAGAAATGCAAGAAGGCAAGATGCGGCAAAAGCCTGGGCACGATGAGCCCTTTAGATGCGACGGCGCGTTCTGAAACAGTGGGACCCATGAGTCCCATTTGCACCGCCGCGCAACCCAACACACTCCCCACACACCCCCAACATGTTTCAGTTGCCTAGAAGTCACAAATTAAAGGGGCAAGATGCGTGCTGCACGGGAACGAACTCTCCGCTGCTGGAGAAGCGACCGCGGGTGTCTTGGACAAGCACGGCATAGCCCTGTCTAGCCAAGAAACCTCATTGGCAAGAAACGGTAAGAACCTTGAGAATTGTCAGCAAGAACATCGCAAACTTTGCTCAAACCACTTGTGAGGCTGCGAGACTCAAGCCTTCCCTTCTGCCAGGAAGCTTTGGCCCATCTCACTCTTCCTTCCATACGGCGTTCGCATCAGTACAGAGGGGAAGGGCCCTTCCAGACCTTCACGAAAGCAACAAGACCCTGTGCAAGATGTTATGCAGCGAAAACAACGGCAGATCACGGAAGATGAGCAAAAAACTTCGAAGAGTCGGGGAAGTCGGGGAATATGCGCTGCACGGGAAGCTTCAACTTTTAACCACCCGAGCTGCACCTTTGGGAAGTAGCAGGCTGCCGCGGAGAACCTCACCCTCCACCACTGCAGTGTCAATGCTCGTCACGGTGAATTCGCAGCGCGGCTTGAACCCCCTGTGCTTTCAATTTTTCAAACTCTCGCAGAAACCACTTTAACATCGCTAGGCTCCGCTGCAGCACTGGGGCAAGTCTGACAGCAGACCCAGAAACATCAGATTCAAGCCACGTGGCTTCTCTCTATCCTTCAAGACCATGTCAGACAGGCCGAGGGCTTCGCTCCCAATCAACTTGGCAGCCTGGAGGGTGAAGGGGTGCAGGGGCCGGTACTGGAGGGTAAGGGGGGGGGGGACCTGAATGGGCCCCCTGCCATGACTTCATTTCACGCTTGACTTCTGAGGGGGGGTGACGGAATCAATGATAGAACCAATCTTTTCAGCCCCTCCCACCCCCGCCCCCCACCCCTATACATCAAACCAGATATGGCCTCGAAGCCAGCTGCAACACACAAGCAAAACTCTAAGGAGCTAGCTTTCGTTAGGGCTGGGAGACCGCAAGCAAGATGCCAATCCCCAGTGCTCCGGCCTGCATGATGTAGCCTTTGTCATGCTGGCTTCTGAAACGAGACCACCACTCAGGCCTGGGGCTTAGCAGAGGCTTCAAGGCTGTAGTTCAAAGCTAAGCATAGCTAACAGACGTCACGGACGTTAGCCATGATGCCCTTGCGTCCGATGGCTGGCTTCCTTTGGCAGCTCCATGGACACTCGCTTGGCTGCAAGGCGGGATTAGCGCTCGCTTATCGAGCCAAACGGCTGTGCAAGAACCTTTGAAAGCCCACTGAAGCCCGGGCCTTCCAGATGGTCTGGATTTGACATTAGGAGACAAGCCGAGTACCAGGACCAAAGGATGGCTTGCATCGACTGCCAGCACACATCCCACATCACAAGCAGGAGGAATCTCTGTTGAATTCAGCTCACGTTTGTTTGCCTCTTCCACACGTATAAAATGCCTAGCAGATGCAGGCCACTGACTTTTCAGCACGCTGAAATGTTTTAATGCGCAGGTGAAACTGCGTGGCTGAGCAATACTGATTGCGCAGGCCGACCGTGTGTGTGTGTGTGTGTGCGTGTGTCACAGCCGCCGGTGAAAAGGTACGTGCTGTAGGCCACACTGTGAGCATGGGTGAAGCTGCGCTGCAGGAGCCACCATGTACGCGTGCTGCTGCAGGCCGCGCTGAAAGGAACGCCGCGGCAGGGTCGCTGGAAGAGCTGAGGAGCACGGCGATCACGTCTGGCGACGGCTGAAGTCGTCAAGCTGTGTCCTCGGATGTCGCAGAATTCAAGGGATGGGGTCCGGGTGAGAACTCGGCAACACGTCTCCCGATTGAACAGCTCGGAAGCGCTTCCAAGACTTCGGCGTGCGACATCGCGTGACGTGGTGTGAGATTGGCTCCCACCCCCAAGGACCACCTCCAGAGTCTTCTGGGGTGAGCTGAGGCACCTCAAGCACCCGTAACCATGGCCGGTGCATGCAGCCGAAATGCCAACTCCTATAAATCTGACGGCGGCGAAAGACAAAGAAGCCAATCTTGGGCAGTCCAGGCGCCAAGGCCGATGTAAAAAATAGACCGTGAACATGGCTGTCGAGAGGAGGGATGCGGGCTGTCGGATGCCGTGTCAGGGCGACAAATGGCAATCTGGCAAAGTGCTGGGGTGGCTGACTGTGTGCCTCATGGCAAGGGACGCAGCGAGCTGTCCTCTGCAAGGCTCACCGCCTCCAAGACTCGTTTCTCATGTGTTCATGTGGCTCACTGGTGCCACTCATCGGTAGACGCAGGACACGGCAGATGCACTGAGATGCACGAGGATGAAGACCAGGCGAAACCCGAAACCGCCACATCCTCTTTCTGTGGCATCTTCACGGAAATATTGTCACCATATTGTAGCGTAGTGGTTAGTCGCGTGGAACTTTGGCAAGCGACGTATGCGTGCTTCGAGCAGCCAAGAGTCGACACGAACTGCTTCCTCGGCAGTGAGCCTTCGTCTGACTCCCTGGTGGCCAGCATGGACATGGCATTGCGCAGTCCTCAGGTGATGTACACAAGGGCCTGCGAAGCGCAGGAAACCCAGCAAGCTGGCACCTTAAGCGGGTGAACAAAAGAAGACAGGGGATTTTGGCTGCCAGCCCTTGGACGAAGCCAGAACCGGCATCTGGGCTCACACGACATCGGGGAAATGTGCCGAGCCCTTGGACGCATTTTGGCGGATGCCAATAAGAAGCTTCGACGAACCCGAGATGTAGGGCCCGGAGGCAGTCCTCGGTCAGCCCCAAGAGCTTGTCGAAAGCCTATGGGTCAGTTTGCGGGGGGCTTTGTCGAAAGCTGTGAGCCATCCTTTGTGCTACAAGCGTCCGGCTTCGTGGGCCCCTCGGAGCTGGCATGGGTTTAGGGTTTTAGGCACGTGGGCGAGGTTTGACACGGAAAAGCTGACGATCGATGACAACCCAAAGCGACCGCGCGCGCAAGCTTTTGCAAGCTGACAGCTGCGTCTGGCCGCATCCTATGTGGGAAAGCGTTGCTAGGCTTCTGCCCACGCAACCCTAAACCCTAAAACCTAAAGCCGACCGGCAGCCTCTTGCTCTCGATGGGCCAAGACATCGGGTGCTTCGAGCTGCACCCATGCAGCAGAGAACGAAAGATGGCCACGTCCTACGTTGCTTCGTCATGTGCTCAGAATTGCTCATACTTCTATGATGTAGGAGAGCCGCGTTGACACTCCCTTTTGGTCCATTCACTTGTGACACCCTTTCGACGGACTCAACAGCCCCGGGCTCCACCGAGCATGTACCGAGATGCAGTAGACATGCGAGAGACGTGGGAGACAGGAGTCTTGATTTTCATTTTTTGTTTCAAGTCAATAGAAGAGCCAAGCGAAAGCAATCGAAGCCCAAGACAGCTTCTTGTAGTTCCGCAAACTCCGAGTGCTATAACGCTGTCCTGCGTCTTTGTGACGCCTGCGGAAGGAGGTGTAGCTGCGAGTGAGAGGCATCGGCATTCGCAAGGCACCGGGGCACCGCAGGTGCGCACAGCGCCTGCGTTGTGTGTGCACAACTGAGTGCTCGAGCCGCAGCGGCATGCTGCCTCACACTTGCCCGCTTCAAGCCCGTATAGGCTCGAAGGCTTGTCGCAGCGCGGCCTCGGCCCATCTCAGCTGAAAAGATGTCAGCAATCATCGGCCGAACTTCAGGCGCTATGATGCTGAGAAGTCCCGACCTGAATTGTGAGCTAGTAGCACGGCCAACGCAACGACCCTTCTACGTCTGAAACGCTTCGAAGGAAGTCGAAGGGTGCAGATGGGTACAGTAGTACAATATGTTAGTTACAGCATTCGGACATCCGTGCACATGTGGGAGCTACTAATTCTGGCTCTGTGAAGTGGCCAGAAAAGGAGTACATAGTGGCTTCGGAAGCCTTGCAGCAGTTGGCTGAAGCAGGGCTGAGACAGCCATATTCCAGGGGAACACGGATGTCCCGCCCCCGAAGGGAGAGTTCAAGCCCAGGACTTTTTTTGTAGCAAGGGGGGGGCGAGGGCGACACTCGCGGATGCTTGCCAACGCTTGCGGTCGCTTGCCGGCGCTGCAAAAATTTCACGTCAACTCCCCCTGGGCATGAGAATCCCGAGGGCAAGAGCTGGCCCTGAAAAATCTGCAGATACCTGAAGGGCTGCCTGCAGGATGGGCCACGAGGCCTTAGAATCCCGCAAGCAACCCTATCAAGGGCCTTGTTAAGGGGTGAGAGTCAGTTAGAGGGTAAGACAGCCCTCCTGGTGTCTGATGGCCGGAAAGATTTGCGTTGGACTTGCGGCTCTGGGTGCCCAGCTGGCACAGAGACGTTCAATGCACAAGCAGCGCTCAACATTGACAACCTGCAGGCCATAGGGTACTTAAGAGTTTCCGAAGGGCTGCGAAGAAAAGCCCAGACCTTGCGCAGGGTCTTAGGGTGACTTGCCCCAACCGCGACTGCGTGGGAGATGTTGGGCAAGGCACCCTGCTTCTAAAGGAGCTAGGCCAGGCAGGGGCAACGATGGGCAGGTGGGAAGCACGTTGCAGGGCAGTAGCAACGAGTTCCCCCCGCAGTACGCCTTGTGATGCGGATGGGGTCCAGGGCCTAAACCCGAAACCCTAAACCACATATAAACGCTATACTAGCCGCTATACCCTATACCCTATACCCTAAACCCTGAACCCTAAACCCCAAGCCTAAGGGCCCTAAGGGGACACGGGAAGCGTTATGGCGCCCACACTGCACCCGTCAGGGTCGATGGATCATGTGCAAACCACAGCGGTCGACTCTCAGACCTGATGAAAACGCTGGACACAAACCTCACATCCCGAGCTCGTGGATCCTGGCTCAAGGGAGATTTGCTGGCCATCATCGAGCTCCAACGAAGCGAAGCCTCCTACGGCCCTGGTCTTGCTGCCTTGGACCCTTTGGACTTTGGAGAGCTGGCATGTGTTGCTCCTGCACGTGCTGAGGGCCGTGGCACATCGGGCCCCGTCTCCCGAGCATGATGGACACGCTGGCAATATGCTCAAACTCAAAGGCAATCTGCTCAAGGAGCTGACCTGGCACCTACACAAAGAAGGTTGCACAAGCACCGGCAACCCTTGGAGTGTTTCGTCGAACCCTTGCAAGGAGATTTGCTGGCCATCATCGAGCTCCAACGAAGCGCAGCCGCCTACGGCCCTGATGTTGCTTCCTTGAACCCTTTGGAGAGCTGGCAGCATGTGTTGCACCTGCACGTACTGAGGGCCATGACACATCGAGCCCCGTATCCCGAGCATGATGACATGCTGGCAACCTGCTCCAAGTCAAAGGCAATCTGCTCAAAGAGCTGACATGGCACTTATAAGGACCTAAGCAGAGAAGGTTGTGCAAGCACCGGCAACCCTTGGAGTGTTTCATCACCCGTTTACGCGTGCCGGTGTCAGTGTCCGTTTTCTCTTAGCCTTATAGGCCTTGGGCGCAAGCCACTGGCACCTCCCAGGCGACGCTGGGCCCCTCTCCTGCTCAGGTCGCTACTGGACCCTGCGACGTTGACTCAGCTGACGCTGCCGACGGGTTTTTAGGGTTTGGCTGTCAGAGTTCGGGAGCTGTTGACGGGCCCGGGCTTGCCCGGTGCCGTATCGATGCTGCAGCACAAGGTTTTCGCAGGCGCACGCCCGCATGTCAGTACTGGGACGCGATGGGTTGCCGTGGCGGCGGTGGGGCCCTGCGAACCTTGCTTCGCCTGGCTCGCTGTGTGCGAGCGAAGGCTCCTTGCTCCAGAATTCCCAGTCTTAGTAGACTCCGCGCATCTCTGCGGCAGAGATGTCAAAGATGTCAGGTGCACCTCGCTCGACACCGAGGCCCGTGCAGCCACGGCAAGGCTGCACTGTGTGACTGAGGCGCCAGCTGCCTGCGGATCGAGACAACGGCGAGTACATTCTGGCACGGCGCCCCGAAGCTTCGAAGCTTCCCGGATGTTTTCTCGGACACGTGACAGGCACCGCGCGAAGAAGCCGAAACTGGGAAGGTGCCCCTTCAGCCGAGGCATGGGGGGCGTGGACGGGGGCCTGTTGCAAGGTTTTGGAGCTCTTCCCGCGGCTTTCACAAGTTTTATGCGCTTTTTCGGCGCTGTGCTCTATCACTCGTTCAACTTGAAATCACATTGGAGATGCCAGAAAGCATGGACCGCTCAGAAAAATTGCCACCCCGCCGCAAGAAATCCCTGCACGGCGCGTGGCTCCTCGCTGTCATGCCTCGTGGCTGGACGTGGCTGCGGTACTCCGCAATCATCTGCTACGGATAGTGCGCAGCGCACAGTGGTCACCAGAGAATGAGAATTTAACAGAACCCGAGAACCGTCGATCCCCGACCCGGCTCTGCTGTCTGAGTACATTTGGAATGCGGTTCCAACTTCGCCTGTCATGATCCTTACCTGGCAAACCTGGCTTCCTCAGCCTGAGGTGGCCCCTGCAACGATTGTCCTCAATGTGGAGACGCGTGCAAAGCTGGCGGCTTGTGGAAAGATGGGAAGGGCCAGTCAAATGTCGGAGCATAAGATGGAAGTCTCTGAGCCTGGGCCATCTAACTTGCCGTTCACTGAAGCACTTTGCCGTCATTTGACGTGGGAAGCAGGTGCCTCTAAAGCGCTGACAATGTTGTTGATACAGGACTCCCAACCCCATACATCAAGAAGGTGCAGAAGGTACTCGGCGCAGAACCCAACCCCATGTTCGCATGTCTATCTCCCCTGAACCAGCTGCCGTGCGAAGGTTAAAGTGCAAAGGCAGCGACAGGCCAAGGGGAGTCAGCTTTTGCACCTTAGTTTCAGCTGAGATGTTGTGGAAATGGTTCTGTCAAAGAAGCAGCACCTACCGAGGCTGAGCAATTGAAATTCGACATGTAATCCTTCAGCTGGGCCCAAGACGTTGCCAAGCCATGTTCAGCAAGCTGCTCTGTGTTCGGGGAACTGGCGAATCTAAATGCCGAGGCTGCTTCAGGTTATTGGAGATCTACGAAGCGTCTATAGCTGTCAGTATACTCCTACTCCGCGGCCTATGCAAGCGCTGCACTTTGAACCTGTTGCATACGCATGTTGAACACATTGAGGTTGGAGGGCTTCCTGATTCATTACAAGCTTTCGCTGCGCTTTTCCTCGATGGTTTGCGGAACCACGTGATCGAAGCTTCTCGATCATATTCACCCATGAACCCATTAAATCATTAACCCAATCGTTTTGGCCCTATGACTGGGTTAGTCGTACGGTTCTCGCGATGAGGGCAATCAATCATCGCAGAGCTTTTGATAAATTTGGAAAGGCCACAACTGAGCGACATCCCAAATTAAGGTAGGTAGCCTGCTCAAGTCCGATTTTTGAAGGCGTCTCCATGTAGTGTGGTTTCATCTGAAGGCGCTGGAGTCACTGGAGTTTGTTACGTCTGGAGCCTGGTATTTTCCCAGAAATTTGGGATCCTTTCGTAATGGCGGGTGCCTTCAACAACGAACTCCAATAGATTTCGTAGATGGGAGTGAGTCCATGGCAAGGGCCCCCATTCCCACGGACAAAACTGGAAGGCCATGACTTTTCGCTAGCGTGGGCATTCGCATGGTTCACAGTGCCCTTTGGCCTGTCTTAGAGACAAGATGGTGTCTTCAAGGCTGCACCGCGCTGGACGGCATTTGAGCGGAGCATGTGAACCTCGACGGGGATGTCCACTGCCTTGTGGCCTTGCACCGGTGCAGCTACAGCTTGCTGGGCGTCATCAGGAGGAAAGCGGATTTTGGACTCCTCCGCATCCGATCGAATGTTCAAGTCGTACCGGCCATTGTCTTTGATTCCGACAACCTTTGCCGGAAGCCACTCTTGGTACGTCCCGCTGAAATACTGGACTGAGTCACCGACCTTGAACTTGTGATGCGCCGGCACCTTGACCCACCGAGCCACTGCCACGGGCGGTGCCACCGTCGGTGCCACCGTTGGTGCCACCGGCGCACCGCCTGGGGGCGTGTGACTGTCTCCCTCCTGAGGGAGGCGCATTTCCTCCTCCGTGGCAGAGCGTGTCGTGTCCAGCAGGTATGTCCCATCATCCCGGGCAAACAAGACCCTGGCATCAAGCCACGTCTGGTACCTGGTGCTCCACCACTGGACTCTGTCACCTCTCTTGTACTTTTGAATGGAGCTCTGCAGCCTCTCTTCGCGCTCGCTTACCTCTGCCAGTGAAGGGAGAACATGATGCCTTCTTCTTGCAGGAGCAGCCGTGGCCTCAACCAGGCCCTCCAGTTCCTCGCGGATCGTTGCCAGGGAGGGCCGCCTTCGGTAGTCCTTGGCGAGCATCTTCATGATGAGATAGTCGACCTCCTTGGTTCCCCGGATTGTCGGGTCCTTGGAGACGTCGTAGCTGTGGACCATGCGCTGTGGATTGGAGAAGAATGGGGGGTTTCTGTTGTAAACCAGCTGGTATAGGATAACTCCCAAAGCCCAAACATCTCGAGCAGGAAGATGCAATGACCCGGCATCCTGAGTCCAGACCTCGGGTGGCATGTACACCGGCGTTCCGCCGCCGTGGCAACCGTATGGCTGCATCATGCATGCAAGGCCGAGGTCAATGACGGCGGCAAAGCACATGTTATTCTGGCAGTTCACCATGATGTTGGCCGGCTTGAGATCCTTAGAACATCACAGCAAAGTCGGCAGCTCAGCTGTAGAACAGGCTACCATGTCTTCGCCATGCACGGCTCGGGTTCCGGGGTTTTTTGGTGTTTGGATGTGCCTCGGCTGCTTCGGCCGCGGCCGCATGACTAAGAGTATAAACAAACAGCCCTTCTAAGCATGAACAAGAACAGTCTTAACAGTCCAAGAGTCGGTATGGATCCTTCCAGTTTTTCGGTGCAGGGCCTCGGTGCCTGCTACGATGTCGTGGAAGAGGACGAGGATGTAGGCATCTGTGAATGCAGGGTCCACATGTGTGAAATCCTGTCTGCCTTCTTGGCTTCTGGTGTTTCGGCATTGCGGGTTCTTATGGCATTTGGAGATGAAATCGTGGAGGTCCCCGTGGTTCATGTAGGGCATCATGATCCAGAAGCCATGACTGTCCTCGATGTAGGACGGCGATCCAATCGCCGAAATGCAGAAATCGGAGTAGTCCTTCATCTGTTCAAGAACTCCGATCTCCGTCCTGACAAGCTTGCTCTTCTCCTGGATATACTTCACGGACACGTAGACGTCTCTGTGCCTCTCGCACAGGACTTTGCACTTAAACACCTTTCCGAAGGTGCCGGCACCCAGCCATTTGGTGATTTCCAGCTTTGATCGCCACGCTCGGGGAAGCTGCACGTCCTGGCCTGTGCCGTCAACTTCTGCAAGACTGCTTGGCTCAGTTGGCTCCACGAGAGGCAAGTCTTCACCCGCCAGAAGAAGGCGTATGCCACTCTCGTTGAACGCACGATACCTGCCGAGGGGAAAGAGGGGGCCATCCCCAGACATGGAACACTCTCTCCTATCGACCGGAATCCCCCGCCTGTGGAGCTCCTCCACCGCGTTCAGGTTATTCAATGCCTTGCTGGGCTGCGCTGAGAGGCGAGCCCCATTGGTTCCGAGCACGGAAGATGCGAGAAGCCAGAGCACTGTGCACGCTGGGCCACGCATTGCGATTTCACGGAGGTTTTGGGAATGAAAGGACTACAAGAAGTCTTGCCCAGCTGATGCAAGGGCAGGTCAGACAACAAGTAAGGATCCGCTTGCTCAATTTGAGCCACGCACACGATCACACAGGGCTGGACTGCATGCTGGCAAAAGGGTGGTAGGCTTTGAAGTTTTTGGGTTTGTGGGATTTGACCGGGGGGCGTCTTCTGCTAAGTCACCTCGGTACACGGCGCCCAGAGAGAGAAATGCGAAGAAATGGAAGAAAACCCATTCTGACGGCATACTAAAGGTGGCACAGCATTCACACATATCTACACATAGCCAAGTTCGTCCATGTTCGCTCTGCTCTGTGTTCTCCTTCATTACTATGGAACTTGTCAGCTTCGATGATGTAGAGAAGCTGGAAGTTCTGCGCACTCAGTGGCCCGGAACTGTTTTGCAGCGTGTGCGGGTCTTTCCATCGAAGCAGAGCATCCCTTTGGGCAGATGCAGCAAGCCGGCTCAAGGCAAAGATTCTGCCCATAAGCACCGAAGTATCAGATCCTGCGCACTGACCTTTTCGAGCAGGCGAGCAGGCTTGGGAATCTCTTGGTCAGCAGACTTCTCAGAGTCAACAATTCTCGGTAGACAAGTCTGACATGAAAGCTGGGAACACTAGCGACACCACCTTGCAGACTTGCCACCCCGATGTCCACCTTTGCATCTCCGACAGTATGCTACGCAATCTGCTGCCCAAATCCTTGTTATGCAGGTAGGTAGTCACCTCACTCTCTGCCCTTTTCTGTCTCCGACTGGGCCTGCGGGTGATGCGGATGCAAGGGCATGACAGCAAGCGTGCGTAGCGAGATTGATCGAGATTGCACATACAGGGGCTCCAAGACGAGCCCGCATGCTCCCGCAGATCAGCAAAGGCGACATTCCAAGTAGCGGGCCGGCTGGGCCGGCTGTTCCTGTACTGGTGCTTCCGTGGCAGCGGCCTTCAGCCATTTTAGGATGAGTCCGGCCGGCTTCCTGCCGAGAAGCGTTTGGATCAACCAGACAGGATCCTTCCCCCTAATCCTTCCTTTGTGACGCACCCCCCTCTCCCTGCCCTGTGGGACCCCCCCCCCCCCCCCCCCCCATCGCTCAAACCGATGCTGTGGGGGTCGCTCCAAAATACACAAACAGGGGAGCGTTGTTTTTGGGACCCCCTGGGACTGTCTGGGACCCCGCTAGAACCCCCCTGAAAGGTTTCGTGGACCCGTCAGGGACCCCCTGAGAACCCCTCCCCCCCCCCCCTCGAAGCCCTGCAACCCTTCCTTTTTTGAGGCATTTCCCAGAAACCCTCTTTCCTCCTTTCCTGTCCGTGGGCCGGCCCGGCTGCCGAGGCGGCACGCGCAAGCGTTTTACAATTAGGAGGCATGTGTACAGTACCTGGGCAAAGTGCATTCGATAACTCCCCTGCTGTGTTGCGGTAGGCAACCCGTGCCTCTGCCTCACTCTCCTTCGGGGAAGGATTGACCTCCGGGGCCTCGGGCACCTGAGCCACAACGGCACAACTCGAAAGCTTCTGAAAAACATAGCGCTGAAGACAAACAAAACACACTTCAAAGACTTTCAACTCCCACAAGCCTTCTCAGGACTTCCTTGTGGCTCGGAGTGCTTGACCACGGGCTCGGCTTTGTTGATCTTGGTTCCCAACAACACAATCTGCTCTCCAGCTGCCTAGTGAGGTCTTGTGCTGCACCCAAAAGCAACTTTCAACCAGCCATTCCACTGCCTCACTCGTTCACTGTCACACTCATACAAACCCACTGATTGTTCGGCATCCAACTGGTGCACCACCCATGACTTGGGGACCCAGGGAGTCCGCCGGGATGGTCTCCACTGGCGGCTCTGGCGGCTGGTCCTATGGTCAGTGCCCAGCGCATCAGAAAAAAGCTCCCAGAAGCTACCCACCGTCATCGACAATTATTAATCACCTGTGCAACATCAGAAGCAATCAGCCTCTGCTTTCTCTGCTTTGAGCTCAGGTCTTCCAGACCCACCTGGACAGAAGTCTTGAACCCTCGGCATCTGCAGGCTGGCAGAGTCACTGAGCACCGTTCTTCTACAACTTTCAAGCGCGTCACACCCTCCTTTCAACGTCCGCAGCGCAGCTACCAGAGGTTCCTGCTATCCTTGAGTCTGCAACTCTAGACTCCACGAGTCCAAGAGAGTCTAAACTACTCTGCTAAACGCGTACCGGCACTATGCTCCAGCAACAGCAGTAAGAGGCCTCGAGCAGCCGAGCTCGAGAGCGGTGTCGGCGGCTCAACACGCTTGATGTGCCAAAGCGTCATCAACTGGCACAAGCGGCGACACTGGGATACTGCGATTGGCTTGCGATGTCATGTGCTACGTCGGAAGCGTGACTCGCAGAACCAAATCCAGCCGCATGCCCGTCCCCGGCAGATGCTACAGTGCTAACTTGGGGCCAAGTTCCTGCATACCGGTCAAGCATACCTACACTTCTTAGACTTCTTAGATTGAGAGCTAGCGCTAAGGTAACTCTTTTCTAGCACCACACTGGCATTTAAGGAGCTATGCTTGGAGGGCTGCTTCATAACGAAGGCATAAAGTTGATACATTTCATGGCTCGTGTGCCCTTAGGATCTTTGGCTAGCTCACCATGTGAAGTGCACATAGCTGCTCTGTGATCTTCCACACGTCTCACCCGATGATAGCAGCCTCCATCTATCATGCAATGTCACGAAGTTGCGCCTCGGGATCCCCACGATATCCATGCAAGGTCATGGTTGCCTCCATCACGCAGGTGCTCAAGATCGCTCACCCCCCCCGAGATATCTCGAACACGAAATGACCTCTTGTCTCCTGCAGCCGTTGATCAATTCAGAACGAAAACTGCAGCTTCATCGAGCTAATGCAGCTAATGACATGCACCTCGAACTCCACCCAGTCACCCGGCGTCAGCTCCGCAATCTGCAGCGGCGAAACACGTTGCGATGTCCGAGAGGCAAGCGCCCCAAAAGAAACTCGCATATGACAGCTCTCTTTAAGTGCTCCCCTCGCTGCTGGAGCCACGAGCTTTGATCCTATGCGCCTCGCAAGTGCTGGCGGAAGTTCAAAAAAAGCTAGTTACCAGGCTTTCACGAAGGGACCATAATGGCAAGAGAGGGCTTTTCGCAATTCGAGCGCTGACGGATTGATAAATTCCCGACCGGTCATAACAACACGTACAGGCTTCTTGATGCTTGCCCTTGAAACTAGATAGTGCACAACGTATCACCTTGCGGTATCCTATCAGTGTTGCATCCACGATTGCGATCTTCAGGGTATCGTAGCATCGTAGTTAGTCAAAGCCATATGTAAAGGATTTAGGAACTCAAGCTCCCCCATGCAGGAGAAACACGCAAGTGTGCATTTGACCTCGGCTCTATGTTCTGCTCCTCCCGGTCTTACGATGTATCACGGCATGTGAACAAACGAACCGAATTTGGGGCACTTTCGTGAAGCATGGCAAAGCAGCATACGGAAAATTGAGCCCACGGATCCCTGGAGTCTCGTGAGTCTTGGCCAGTCCTACAATAACTGGATCTTGCAGACGTCTTGAGTGCATCGGTGGTGAAAAAAAAAGGCCCTTGAGGCGATGCCTCCTTGTTGAGAGAATCGCTGAAGAGCAAAGCCACATCCGGAAGATCGCGACCTGGATAAAATACCAACATGATTGAAAGCATTTGAACGTATTGCACTATTGAATGTGGAATGAAGTGCATGGCAGCACGTGGGCTCCCAGCGCGGAAAGCGAGAGGGGTACATGCGCACCTTCAACGGAAGCTAAGCTAACCAGCGTCCAAATGAAGTCTCGGACAGATGGTCTTGGAACGGGGGTATTGACTCTGTCGATCGTTCTGAGTTCTCTGGCCATCAGCACACTCTTTGTGCGCACGAATAAGACCTGCAGCAAGTCGCGATCAGTGCCAGGACATCATGGAGCATTATTGCACTATTACCAGCACGGTATTGGCACATTCTGCTTCTGACAGCAGCTTACGGCCTCGAAGCCTTCGCGAATCACACGGACCTCGCGGAGTCTCATCACGTTTCATCCTACAACTTCGTTCCCATGCGTTTGTCATTCCTGACTCGAACATTCTAGCAGATGAAGGGTCGAACTAATGGTAAACCTGAATCTCCGCAACTGTCCCAGTTTTCTGATCCTCAAAACGCAATCACGCTGTCGCACTCTCACCACAGGCCTCGCCCTGCCATGTAAAAGTTCGCCGGCGATACCTGGCTGTCAGCCATAATTAGCTGTTTGCAGTGCTTATGCTGCAGGCATCCTACAGCAACTTATGCATGGCATTCTCAAGGAAACTGCGACTTGTCATGTGTGTGCGTGGACGCAGCCAGCCTTCGGGGGCGGGTGGGTTGAGGGTTCGGGACGTGCCAAAATCAAGGCCCTTCCAGGCAGGGTTGCTGCCCGCACTAGCCCCCAACTGGCTCTCATGCTGTGTTCATTCCGCGTATGCTGGTGGTTGGAGGTGAAACGGAGCCGTGTTCAGTGCAGGTGTACGCTTTGGGCGTCCCGCACCTGTCTCCGATGATGCGATGACCGACACGCCGTTTCAAAACGTCGGCAGAAGGTCTGCTCCAGAAAGAGGCACGGAGATGTTGAGGGTCGAAATCCAACAGTACATGGTTCCCTGATCCAAAAGCCTTATTATGTGCTCCTGACGTGCCGCCCTCTCAAATTGACGAACACACCGAAACAATCCTAAACAACCTCACTTTCTCAAACTGCTGTCCACGCATGTAATAGCCTACACTGCGCGCGCCCTGAATCATCAAGGGCCATTCGCTGCGTGGCAGAATGGATCATAAGCTACAGGGCCGGCAGAGAATTTGTCTTGGACATCCTCACTCAGCCAGTGCAGTCAGTCAGAAACTCTTCTGCTCTGACCACCAATTCTGCTAAATCACATCATCATTCAATTATTCTGTACATCTGGCCAGTGTTCCCTGGGTCGCTCATGTCACTCGTGCTACTGCGATACTGTAGCAGAGCCCGTGTCCCCCAGTACTACGAAGCTTCTATTCCTGGCCAAACCAAGCCAAATCACATCGGTCATACCGACCTAGATTGGCCTAGATTCTAGCTTTTAATTTGCAAGGTTTCCCATGCCCACACCGTACCTAGAAAGTGAAGCAAGTCAAGAAACACTGGGTGCTGAGGTTTCGAGGCTGACTTCAAGCGCTGTCGCGCAGATCTTTGTTCAGCCCTTAGCCATCAGTCCGGACTACCGCGCAACAATCGTGGGATCACGGTCGCCAGTGTGCCTGTCTACTGTAGGCACGATATGATGTATTTGCTTACATGCCGTCCGGCTGAGATCTGGGCTGATCATGCGTTCCTTCTGCGAGCCTTTTCCTTTACTCCGATGCCGCACGCGACGGTGCCAACAGCAAAACAAGGAAAAACACGCGCGCCTCAGCAGAAAGCCGCGGTGTCTTTGTCTTGCGCACTCTGCGTGCATCCTCGTCGGGCTCGGGCTTCACCTGCAGGCAGAAGGAAGCTGGCCGTTCTGCTGGCCGCGATCTGGTCTGAACCCAAGATCTGTTGCAGTGAGCCCCCCTGCCTAAGCACATGGCTTCCCTGTATGTTGGGGCATGACAGGTACTCAGTTCCCTTGGGCATTGACAGCACCCCACCCTGCCTTCAACCAGTAAAGGTGATGCATCTTCGGATCACCACCTTCTTCAGGATGCCTTTCCAAGGGATTGCGTGGCCTGCAGAACTGCAGCTGATCTGTCGTGAAATGATTGAAAGTGATGGAAACAACGCCGACTTTAGCTTCACTGCTCCAATTCACCTGCAATTCTCCCAGCGCTTCTTGCCCATCATCTCGACCTTGTGAGCACGGACAATGTTCATCTTTGCAGGTGTGGCACCCGGAGGGATTGCTTAGCGATAGCCATTTACAAGCATATTTACAAGCAAATTGTTCATCCTGCGCAATCACGTTATACACTGATACACTGAGTGGTGTCTTCGATCATGTTCGGCTGTCCGACATGCACATCGGAAGGGCCACGAAAATCACGGGTGTCTTGCACATCGATTTGCTTTTGTCACTATAAAACCCTAAATGCCATTTGCTGCGAAAAGAACATTTTGTGTTGACAACAGGGACTACCAGCTGCATTGTAGTTGCGAAAGCGGTGCAAGCTGGTAGCCCTCGTCCCTGTCAGTCTGCAGCCTGCACTCTGATGTTTTGTTGTCATCTGCTTGCAATTGCAATCTGTCTTCTGGACTTGTGCTTCGACGTTGAGGCCATTCACAATGCATTTTCTAAATACTACCCCCGTGACCGGTGGCCCAGGCCCGACTAACTGAAGATCACTTTAGCCTATTGGCCGGAGCTGTCAGAGCTCGATCCGCCTATGCTCTTGCGCTTGAATAGCAGTGCTCGAATCGCGGCCTGTGCTAGAATCAACTTGTTACATATAAAAAGGGCGTGTCTCAAGACGTCATTTGCCAACTTGAACAGCGGTTGATTCTCGTGGCTAAGCTCCTTTGCAAACTGCATCTTCGGTTTTTGTTGTCACGCTTTGCCCATGACTATCTTATAACAAAGCGGTTGCCTCGCGGGCTTGCACCTTGCTTGTCCGCTAGACTCCCGCAGTACAGGACCTTCATCTTGCAGTAGCTTGCGGTGCCCCGCCATTGCCATGTCTGGAAGCACGAAAAAGGGGGGTGCGGTGCGATGAAGACAGTCACAAGCCTCATACTTGAGCAAGACTACCTGGAGAAATGTGTGCACACTGCATGCGTACGGCAGAGCAGCGTCTGCAATCAGCTGCACATGTCGAGGCCTAGGGGCTGGGCCCAGCAAGCATCGCTCCGGTTGTCTGAAATTCGGATGCCTTCTTCTTGGCCTAGCGATGTACGCGTCACACAACAAAAACTTCAGGAGCAGGCATGCAGGTTGAGTTTTGCCATGGGAAGTGCGCTGCTTCTACAGACGCAAGTTGCATGTAGTGCTGTTGGGCTAGAGTCCAGAGGCCAATAACTCAGTCAAATCAAACACACGCCACAGTCACGTGAAAAAGAGACACTGCGTCGCTTTCATGCTCTGGGAGTGGCTGCGCGAATCCGCGCGAGGTCCCATGCGCCTGGCATCTCCCGAAGGGTGGTTAGGTGCTGCAGCTGCAGCCGGGTCGCCTCACCGCGCGTTAGACACTGTGTCGACATGTTGCACTAGCTTACTGGCTGATAGGGCTGATACTAGCTAGCCAAAGGGTCACATTCCTGCACAGCTCTCTGGCTGCACGCTGGAGAAAGATCAAAAAAGAAGCTCAGGCTATGGCTGCAGGGCGCGCTTGGAAGATGTGCTGCCACTGTCCAGCCTGTGCCAGTAATACTTTACGTTATGTTCCGCAGCTGGCTATACCTCCAGTGATCTACACCTACAGCGTACCGACAGCGTACGGCATGTTCCAAATCCTTCTTCTCAACATCCTCAGAGACTCGGACTTAACAAACCAAAGGGCCAAAGGGCAAACCAAAAAGGATCTTGAAGGAAGCGGGCGGCGGCCTGGGCACCTTCACAGCCCTTGGCTCGCTCGAAGCTGATGGGAAGATCTCGGATGGTGGAGCACTTGATCGCACCTGGCTCCCGCAGCTGTGCTCGGCACGCCCGGCTCTCACTCTCTCAGGCTCAGCTAAAGCAGCTAAAGGCTTCCAGGCTTTAGAGGCCTTGGGCTCCAGTAAGGCCCCAAAAGCTTGAGGACTTCTCCACAGACAATTCGCAATCTTGCTTTATCCGCACTTCCCCTCCCCAACCTATGTGACGATCGAAGCTGCTGTCCACGGGCGTGCTGAGTTGCGTCTGATACGCCTTCACAGAACTCGCAGCATCTGTGCAAACACAAAAACCAGCACGGCACTTGCTGACAGCTGTAGCAGCACTGTAAAGCAGTGTAAGTACCTACCGCTCGCAAGGAGATGGAAAGAAGATGCAGGGAACATCAAGGCCCGCAGTTGAACCCAGTGCAATATATTACAATCCCTTGTTTGGCCTCGTTGTTCGGAGTGCAAATCCGTTGTATCGCATCGAAGCTTCCCTGTGGCGCGGGGGTGCTTCTCGTGCAACTGTCTCTGTATCTCTGCTCTGCTCGGCGGGGTGCCGCACCTGCTTTCGGCTGAAATATCTTCGCCAACCCTCTTCTGGCTTCCGTCCCACACCGCCACGAAGATTCATTTGCCAATCCTTTGCGGATATCAATGCATGATGGTCAACATCGCTAAACAAAAACCATGTTCGGGTTTGTGTCTTGCTCTTCTGCTCTTGCAATCTGCTACTCAGCTAAGGCTCAATGGCATGCGGATTGCCTGAGGTTCGGCGGACAAGCCTTCGCAGGCATGCAAACGAGATGCCGGCGTTATATTTCTAGTAGCTGGGGGGCCTCTGCATCTTCGGTTCTCCAATGAAGGCTCGGGATTGCAGCTCCATGCGCTGCAAGGGATAGAGGCTCATTGCCACCTCCTATACCTAATAGCATAACAAGTACATGCACCCCCTGCAAGCATGGGGTCTCCACAGGCCTGCACAGCATGTGCGCTGCGTTAGCAAAGTTGTTGTACCGACCAAACGTGTGGCTGCCTCAGAGGAGCTGCAAGGCTGGAATGTTTTTGACATGTTGCAGGCTCCGTCTCGGCAGTGGGGATGTCTCTTATCGTCTCACGCAATGGCGGCGCTGCATACACCGGCTTCCGAAACCAAAACTCGAACCCTGCAGCCACGAAGCCATCTCCATAAGGGCCTTCTGGATGGCCTGGTGAACACTGCTGCTTGGCGGACTTCCGGCAGATGATGGCATGCCATTCCGAATGCAACTTGTCCATTGCCATGTTCAGGCTCTGCACAAATGCCAGTCCTGCTACAGACGTGCTGCTAAAGTCATCCTCGCCGGTGTCCCGTTGCATCATCCTGCCATTCAAACTGCAGCGCATTGTGACAGACACTTCTCCGTACGTGGCGTTTTGCTTCACACTGGCTGCATGTTTTGACTTGAGCGTGGCTCCCACGACTGGCTCAGCCAGGTGTGGAGCCATGTGGAGCCTGAAAGTTCAATGCGCTAGGAAGCCCGTGCCTCCGAGATTGCTTGGCGGCAGCATTCCCTGCCGAACGGCAACTGCAGAGGATAATGATTGTTGATGATTGCTGTAACTGTTTCTATGCACGATGTGAGGAGTATAATGGAGTATACAGACATGGGGAATCCAATGCTTTACAGGCTTTGCGGCGTAAGTAGGAGACCTGAGGGGTTTACCTTCCTGAAAGCCTTCGGACAGGTAGGGTAAGCCCGAAACTGTACTAAATCCACAAAGGCTGCACTCGGCTGCCAAGTGGCCACTGGAGCCCTTGGAACTTGACTCGGGCAAAAGGTCATCAAAGGCCTGCGCTGACTTTCGCAGCTTGACATGGAGTTCTACACATCGCAGCGCGTCGTTCTCTTCTAAGGGTATCTCACAATATCTGGCACAAACACGACTGCACTCAGATTCACATGTATGAAAGAACTCTCTAACTTCCAAGAGATGCAACTTCCAGATGGAAAAACGCGCACAAACTCTCCAGAGGACACTGACGCGCTCCGCTCCCAACCTTGGGCTTTGACCCTTTCGGCATCTTTGGAAGCGAAGCACGCGCGACCCGGAGCCGCAGCGTGTTATAATTAAGCTATACAGTAGAGATTTCTTCGTCTCTTCTTGGATGATTTGATTCCTCTGTGGCTTGGCTTGAGATTTAGATCTTCCTGGGCTTGCATCACAGTGACCGTAATCCTGCAGATGCATGCATGTGTCATATCTCCTTGGGCACAAGCTGCGAGCAGTGTCATGAAAGCTGAAGTGCACCTCTATCATGCGAGTGTCAAAGATGTCCCGTGCGCAAGGTTGGTGCATTCATGAAGTCGGTGAGAATTTAAACTTTAGAACGCAAGCTCGGCTTGGACACTTCTCATCAAAGACCACGGCGGAGCTGCCGCGTGACCTCCAGCCCCAGGGTTCAGCGCAGTGACAGCAAATGCTCAGGGCCCAAGGTCGCGCTTCCACTATCTTCCACTTTCCCGTGACAGCTTGGGAATTGGGAAAATTCGTATATTGCAGGCCGCATGATGCCAACGCGCCTCAAGGAGGACTTGGGGCCGCAGTCAAAGAGGAAGTCCTGCCAGAAATAGTAGTGGCCAGCGTGTCTTACGCCCGACTGGTTCGATTAACCAGTGCCGAACACTGCCGCATGCAGTCAGAATTCTTTTCTTGACATCCGCATGTGCCACGGTCGATCTGAGACAGCTAGGATTTCCGACGATCCTGCGCTTGGTAACCGCTCGTCTTCTCTCCAAGTTTGCTACTGTGCTGGCCTGCTGCTCTGAAAGGGTCGGAAATGGGTGAAGGTATGCGCAAGCGCGTCAGCCCTCAGATTGTCTACCCGTGGCGGCCCCCTGTCCAAGCAAGGCCAAACGCCAAAATCTTGGACAAGGGTATCACGGATCCTGCACACAGCAGCTTGCTCATGCTGAGGGCACAGGGCATAGCCCTACAACAAAAACTGCGTCATACATCTCGCACTGAGGCTCCAGGTACAGGCCTCTCGGAAGTTGTCAAACAATCGTCAAGTTCGTCAAGTGATGGGTCAAGCAGTCCGGATTCGGACACAGCTTGAAATCCAGCTTCTCCTTAGATCCAGCTTGGAGTTTCTGCTTGGCACTCGAAAGCCCGAATGTTGCAAGAACTGCTTAGGACGACGGTGAGCGTGACCTGGTCAGGCACCTGGGCACCTGAGTGAATAAAACTGTAAAAGACTGAGATGTATGCCATGTATGCCTAGCTTCGGTGATGAAGCCGTGACAGACATTTCCAGAGGAAGTGCCAATCGACAAAACAGTTAGGTCGTTTGGGTCCTTCGCCGAAGGCATCATCTCAAACTGGAAGAGGTCCTCGGACATAGGATACAATCATATGGAGACCGGGCACTTTAGCAAAAACTGCTCTGATGATTCGAGCTTGGCGAACCGGACCAACACATTGATTGCAAGCGACGGGTGCAGCGGTCGTCGGAAGGTCATTTGCGTAACGCCCTTGCCCGTTAGGCTTCGCAGCCTGCACATTTCACACGAAGAAGATCAGCAAAGGCGTGAATATTGTAGAGTATTGTAGAGTAGGCGACACTCGGATTCGAGAGCAGGACATAGCAGGACAAAACAGAGCTCTTCAAGACTTCAATCATGGCTTCGTTTAGGGACTTCAGAGACTGTCTGGCTGTGCAGCGCAAGAGAAACACTGAAGCACATCGGAAATGATCAGATACTGCTTCAGCAAATCACTTCATAATAGTTGGGTGAGCTAGCTGGGATATGTGGGACCTAGGGTTCAAACAGGTCACTAGAACGCCAACGCATTCGATACTACGTAGGGCTCGAGAGGATGCCCGGCCTCGCCATGGCCGACTCAAACGTCGCGCCAGAAACTGGCGGCCAGGAGGCCACGGGGCTGTCCTCTTTGCAGCTGTCTTTGGAGGTGTTTTTTGAGGGTGTTTTTTTTAGGTGTTTTTTTTAGCCTTTTTTCTGGGCTTAGGGCTCTGGCAGCCTCTGGCCTGAGAGTGTGCCCTTCTCAAGGATTGGAAGGCCAGTCCTCCATGAAGGGATCGTCGTGATGAATGAAGCTTGATGTTGGCTTCGCGGTCAAGTTGATGCGAGCCTGGAGCTGTCTGAGAATACTATGTGCAGCATGTGTGTCTGGGTGTGTGTGTGTGTATGTGTGTATGTGTGGGTGTTTGGGTGTTTGATGGTGTTTGGGTGTGTGGGTGTGTGGGTGTTGGGGGCCGGGGCGCGTGCGTGCGTGCGTGCGTGGGTGTGTGTGTGTGTGTGTACATGTGTTTTGGTGCCAAACCAATTGCATGCCCCCTTGCAGAGGTTCTACGCTCACATGGGCAACGAGAGCGCGTCGCTCCCGACAAGGGAGTACAAAGCTTAAACGTGACAAACTTGGTCAGCTTTCTCTTGAGTTTCTCTGCTTGAGTTGTGTCTGGAGTCCTCGATCGCAGGTGCCGTTGCGGGAGCCGGAGTCCAGACTGCCCGAAGGAAACCAGCATCGCCTGGACCACTTTTGCATCATCCCAAAGACACAGTCTCAGTATGTCAGCAAGCTACTCTAACAATGTAACAACCTGGCATTGTCTTGCTCGCCCTATCCGAGAACATGTCAATGCCCAAGATGCAGCTGCACATGCATGAAACCCGTGGCCACGTTGCGTTCCAACGGACCAACAGTGCTGCTATGTGCTGCCGAAATACGAGTCAGATTCATAGGGGATTCAGACTTGTTCTGGCAGAGATGATTTCGGCAAATGAGCGCCTCAATCCTGAGCCGAGTGCAAAGCTTATCAGACTGCCGGAGTCAGGCGGGCCAGTCTGATTTCGGAGCAAGTGTCAGATCAGCCTACGCTGGTGATCAGATCAAACGAAAGGCTCCCCTCAAGTTTGAGGGGGAGCTTTCGTAACAACTTCATCCAAGGTTCAGAACGAAGCCCTGCCCATACTTAGTTGCCACCTCAGAGGTGGCGTCGGCCAGAATCACTTCCAGCGGCGTGCCATAGCACGGCACCATCAACAGCCAGATGACACTCTGGCGGCACATCATTCTAGACAACAAGCTCAGACAGCATCCTCTTGCACATTTTTTGCTTCCTTCGAAAAAAGATGTGTGCACAAAGAAGTGGAAGCGTGTTTGTTATTGCCAACGTCAGCCCCTTTACATAGGCCGGTCTCCATGTCTCGAGCCAGGCAAGAGCTGCTCACACATGCTCTGACATCTCGTTGAAATCTTTAAGGGTGTTGCCGCTTTAGCTTGGCAAGCCCGACCTCCCAGGTCAGCATGGAGGGAGTGCCCTTGTGGACCTGTCAGATGCTTTAGGCTTGCGCATCTCGACCGCACCGAACAACCCGTACATAGACAATGTTAGCATCATGGACGGTGTCACCGTACCATATGTTAGCCTATTGTATTGTAGAGCTGTTGTAGATTAGAGCCTTGCAAAAAAAGGGAGGCCTATGATCGGCCACTATAGACTTTCAGACTTCAGGCCACAACCCCGAATCTGGAACTTCCAAAGCTTCCGATCACTTCCGGTCTTCTACGACTCTACAAGCTCCTAAGCATTTTAGGCATTCTGGGCATTCTGGGCTTTGGCCTCTGGCGCCGCACCATTCACGTGGACAAACGATCCTTGGCTGTGTGTATCCGCTCAAACGAGGACTTGGCATGCTTTGCCAGGTCCATCACGCATGAGATAGACCGCAACAATGGTGAACACCAGCCCGAGGAAAATGATGACCTGAGCATGAGCATCAAAAGTATGAGAATGGCTTGAAGCTTCCGCACTTTGGCAGCGGCAGACAATCTGGGAAAGCGTAGCATGCACTGGCGTAGACTTTCGGTTCGAGGACGTGGCATATTTCCGAGCCAACACTACAGCGCAGTTGCCAACTTTCAAGCTGCACACCTGGAAGGTGTCAGAGTTGGTTGTGTGCCGCAGAAGGTCCAAATTCTATCGGACGATAAGGTGTATGATAAGGTGTCCCTCGGCTGCTCAATGTTCAGCTGAAAGGAAACATAGCCCACACGATGTTTTACCATGGTTTGCTGATACTTACTTTGCACGCATTCCGGCCTCCGTGCGGAATGTTGGGAACGAAATGCGCGACTTTCGCGCGATGACGTTCAAGCACCGTGGGCCTTTTATGCAAGGCAGATCATGTTGACCAAGCTCGCTACACGAAGATGAGCTGAGATCAGCACAGTGGTGGACAACATCCTGTTCCAGCCGAGGTGCAACGAAGCTGATGCCAACAAGGTCGATAAGAATGATGTGGGTGCGAGCAGTACGTTGTTTGCAATAGCAGCCGAAGAGGAAAACACTGAAGAACCATGCAAACCACCAGCCACAGACTCAAAAGCCGAGACGCGAGACCACTGTAGCTCAACGAATTGCGTCTCACAATGTCTCACACTACGATTACATACCAGTTACATGCCAATCCCGCCTTGAAGGCTGGCCAAAGGAGTGGGAGGACCCAAAAGGCCATCCACCCAAGGCTGAACCAAACGACAATAGCCAACAGCCTCGGTTGCACGCCATCCCTGACACTGGCACATCCCACAAGCGCCCAGCAAAACACCTGTCCGAAAGGTCTCCCGTCTCCCGATCCCGTCTCTGTGCTGGCGTGCGGGGACCCGAAAACTACTTCTCTCCAAAAATGACGGTTTGCAACAAGCCAAGTCCTGCCAACAGTACTTTTCTCACGGATGCGCGCACGCAGTGCACCTGAAAGCACCGTTCTTGACTCACTGCTTGCGAAAAGTTTCTTTTCTCGCCATTTACGAATGCCAGGATTGTTGCAACAAGTGGCTCTTCTCGCCAGTTTTGCACACAAGGATTCCCAACGATTATGATGAACAGACTTGCTTGCGAAAAACGTCTTGGTCTTGGTGAAAAGAACTGATTTGAGAACAAACATTTCTTGCAAACATGTGACCTTTGCTCGCAGCTTATAATCAAGGAAGCCATGTTCCCGATAACTAGAGTCTCCGTTTGACGGCTTAGACTCCACGACTTTAAAAGTGTGAGCAGGGAGATTCTTTCGCTAGGGGCCAGGCCAGGTGACCCACGAGGCCTCATAGTCGATGAAGGTTACCTCACCAGGGAACTTCACCGACTGCCACTCAACGGAACATTTCTGCGGGCTCAAACGATGTTGAGCGTATTTTGAGCGCTTCATAAACCTGCATAGCACTATATATTACTATATGGCACTGCAGAAGGGAGAGGCCCCTGGCAACTGAGCGCTCGCAGTGCATGCAGGTGCAGCGCTCCGGCCTTCCAAAGTCTTGGACCATTGCATCGTACGACGTATGTGATTGTGCTTACTTCGAAGCCAAAAACCAACTCAGGAGGCGTGCTGAGGACGGCGCATGTCACCAAAGTTGAGGCCTTCATTGGGATCATCCCGGGCCTGACGCAAGCACCCCAACGCCCCTGGAGGCATCAGAATCTCATGGACGGGATCAGCGCTCAACGTTGTGGCGTGCAGAGCCTCTGTGCTAAACTCGATGAGGGATGGACCACCAGAGGCCTCTTTCTTTGGCCTTGAGGCATGTGACTCATGACTGATGGTGATGGACCATGATCACCACGGCTCTCTAGCCGCAACCCTTTCACAAACGTCCCCCAGTCCTCTTCTCAGCAACCATGAAAACAATTGCCGCGCGGAGAAAGCTGATAGTCAGGCGTTTGCTTTCTAATCCGGGATAGTTCCCAAGTTGGCATCTGTGCAGGCAAGAAGTGGTGCTCGGTTCTGTGTCAAGACTTGGAGCGGGAGTACGCCCGTGTGCCAAGCAGACGAGGGCAGCACGCTTCCGGAACAGGGTATTGGCCTGCAGCAAAGCGGCGAGAAACGAATGAATGCCTTTTTCCCAGATTTGAGGAGGCACCAGTCACCAAATCGGTCTTTAGGCGCAGGCTTTTTAGGGCCAGCTCCGTAGACTCTTCCCGGGCCTCCCGGGAAGTGTCTGCACCAAGAATCTCCAAGACACACACGGCAGGCTACCCCAGACTTCCGACTACAGTGACTACAGCGCCTTGCGGCGCTCTCGGTCCTGCCCTTCGTGGTACATCGCTCAGACAGTTTTGCACGCGTGTCTATGTGAGTGCTAAAGTTGCAGGGACTGCATGGGTAAACCCGACTGCAGGCAAAGTCCTGCCTTCTCAACGATTCGCATTAGTACCTTCACAGATCCTCCTAGTGTCATATCGACCCAGAGGGGAATCGGTCTCAGATCTGAGTATCTCATGCGCATGTGATGCTTCTGTTGGCAACGTCAACTGGACACATGAGCAGCACGGTCTCATGTAATCACCAGCCCCATGATGGGATGATGCAATCTTGAAAGCGTGATGTGTTCGAAACCCTTTCATCTGCATCACGCTTCAGCTGGCAGCGGTGCATCCCTTCACTGCCGCTGCCGTGACTTGCAGTGAGCCCCTACCTGGTTCCTGTGCCATCCCCACTGCATGCAATGTTGCGAAGTCGATCGAGCAGCACATCAAGTCCGCATCCATTTTTCCAGGATAAAGACGCCGCTGCCGACGTAAACGTCCAAAAGCTCATGCAGTTGGATCTACATGGATCTACATTGTAATTCGAGCAAAGTCGGCCTCCATCCACACATCAGGCAGCATTCTGCCCAAGACGTGGCCGTGACTCGTGACAATGTCCACAATTTGCAGTGGAGAAAGGCCGGCCAGCCAAAGATGCTATGAGATTTAATGACATTCGACTTATCCCTCTGGGACATGCCTTGTGCAAGTTTGCAGCCGCTTCCCGTCGATCCCCAAACGTAGGTTTGAGATGGTTTGAGATGAACTAGACGCAGCAGCTCTTCTCACTTTTATTGAGCTCGCTCACCAGTAAAACGAGACATCAACACCCCCCTCCAGAACGGAAACGGCCTCGGGCCAAGCTTGCAGTGCGTCTCTCACACTGGGAGGTCGCCCAGAAGAGGAAAACACAGATTGTCAACTGCTTGTCTGTAATGCCGACCACCGCACTTGGGACCTCCGAGCTTGTCTTGGGGTCCTATTTTACCCAAAGAAGCAGCCTGCGAGCACTCCGCAGGCAGAACGTCTGACGCAACGCAGCCACCTGCACAGAAGAGTCATTCAAGCAGTCGCTGCAATCACATCCTGGATAGGTTTTTGCACACCTTGACAACGATTCGACGATTGACTACCGTGTCACTCGCCCTGGTCCCAACATGTTGGGCCACTGAAGACCACACAGACAGCATGAAATGTATGAACCAGATGGCAGTTTGGCCTGCGAATCAAGCAGCCGTTCCTGCTAGCGAGGTCTGACCTGTGCTGGGATGTGCTGAGACTCCGGATTTTCCTGTGGCACAGCTGATGTGCACTGAGACTTTATAAGAGACTTCATAAGTCAATACCGGTCAATACCACATCACTGCGTCAGAATGCCAGAGAGATATTTCAAGATGTACAGGGAAACAGGATACAGAATCTCAACAACAGCTGGGTGGACCTTCTCTGGGTCCGCCTCTTGGCGCACGTCCAGGTTGTAGGTGCTACTGGTGCGATTGTAGCCCTCCTGCAGAACTTGTCAGGCACGAGCCTCAACCATTCTACACCTGCAGCACAAAAAAAGATGCTGAAGATTCGTGCGTTGCCAGCACCGACTGAAACAATGCGAGAGCCAGGTACGGTACTAGCCCCTGTGGCCGAAGCCACACGTTGCACACTGGACAGAATGGGTACCTGTAATTAGCCTGCGGCACATGAACCGGGGGTCTCACGACATGCGCAATGATCCATTTGCCCAGGGAGCCGCCTTGGTGTGGGCTCACATGCTGTCAGGGGCGAATCCCGGTTTGGGGAATTTCGGAGTGTGCTAACAGCTCACGCGACCAAGGCTGTGCGAATTATTTGCTGGCTGTTGCTGCACCCTCGGGAGCAGGAATGTCCGCAAAGGCACAGGCTGTGATACATCACTTCGGTGCCCTTTGGCCATGCCCACCTTTGCCAAAGAGCTTCCATCCAAGTTGAACTGCTACATCGCTTTGTTTGCAAAGCTACGAAACCAGACTTAACACCTATCTCATCTCTGTTTCTGCATGCCAATGTGAGACCGATGATGCTGCAGCCCATGTAGGTCTTCAAAGCAAACCAAAGAGGCTGGCCTTTCCTGCTTGGGAGCTCGCAAGGCCTCAATCCAACGGGTGCACGAGTCACACAGAATTTAGCACGATGTGCCATGTCGTAAGCATCTTCGTTATCATCTTTTTTCCGGCCAAGACCTCCAGCTTGAGCTCGGTCATGCTGCCACCTTACTTCCACTGGTCCACAGACAACCAACGACAACAACATTACCGACCTTTCAATACTTTCATGCGTGAAAGGAAGCATGCGAAAGTGTGTCGTTGTGCGTGTCCCTGATCTGGCGCCCCATTGGCGCCCGACTGATGTCGAGCTCAGCGATGCCGCCGCGGACGGCCACAACCGGGGCCTGGGAACCAAAGCAAATCTGAGCTCAAGGACCACACCAGAGACTCTAAAGGAGTGCGCGGCTTGGATCCAGGAAGAAGAAGCTTCCCGACAATCAGCTCATGAGCCAAACGCATCTGCGACAGCTGTACACAGCCCCATCAAGAACCTTGGGCCTGGACAAAAAGGTCATGCTCTGGGACATGACACCAGTAGCCTGCCCCAGGAGCCAGATCATCAGAAAGCTTCCAGCGCCGGCCACTGCACCTTGTCCGATACGCTGTGGTCTGCCAAGCACCTGGTCAGTCTTGAGAACTGTCGGAAAAAGTCGGGCCACTCAAGCCGGGGTGTACTCAGCATGCCGGTTCCTTTCTATGGACTCTATAGACTCCACGAACCAACTGGCGATGCCTCGGCATCGGCCGCGGCAGCATCAGTCTGAGCGAGGGGTGCGAATCGCCGAATCGGCTTCACGTTGCAGACAGAAAAGGAAGTTGCCCAGACCGAAAGAGAGAGAGAGAGAGAGAGATGAAAAGTGCGTGCACCTCGAGCACCTCTTCCGGAAGCTTTCCGACCTGTGCACTGTGCACTGCTGATCACTGGCGAGGCTGGCGACACAGAAGGATTTCTCATTTTTGTATTCCGTGGATTGCTGCTGCCTCTGCTTTTGCAGAGAAACCGGCTGCCTTTGGCAGCATGTTCGTGAACGTCGTGGACGTCGTGGACCTGGCCTCAGAGAACCTCGGGTGAGTTCGTGGTTTAAAAGCTTTTGAAAGTGCTTCACTGCAGGCGGAGACAAGGCCTTTGAAGCTCGTGAAACTCTCCGAGCTACTGCTCAGCTATGCTGTCTCCCCATCTTGTGGATACGGAACAGCTTTGTACGGATCAACAAGCCGATCGAGGTCTGCCACGGCGCTTGCATGCGACTTACCTTCGACTTCGTTCATCTTCAGCCGCCATGTCTCACATTGTACGAATCCGGACACCATTGCATCAGTGCCGGCCACAGCTGTCAAGGCCTTTTTTGCAAAGAACGACGAAACGATCTTGGCAATGGCAAGTGGTGTGAGCAAATCTTGGCGAATGTAAGTGAGCAAGGACTGGTCAAACTTCTTCTCAAAGGCCCATGCGATGCAGGCAGCCAAGGTGCAGAGACCAAAAACAAACCTTAGGCCGTACTCCACCCAAATGAGGCGGTACACACGCCACCTGCCGGAAACTCCCCCCTTCGTACCTGTGATGCGGTATCCTGTGTGAATGCCAACTGCAAGATACAGCGTGGCTCCCACGACCCCTATGGCAAGCATTGGGTCACCAAGCATCTGCTGAATTAGTGCAAAAATGACCATGTAAATGGGCAGGACTTCGAAGGTAGTGAGTATTAGCAGCCAGCCACCTGCTTGACTTCCAGGGAACATCGCTTTTAAATTTACCAATGCCTCCGCAAGACCATTGCCAAGTCCAAGTGCGGACGAGATTTTGGTCTGTCCAATCATAACTGCCAGCAGCATACCTTACCAGCTGACCAAGATCTCCGACAGACAACAGGAATGTTGAATTATCAGGAGAATACCTCAATGACCTAACGCAAGAAACTGACTGAGCCAACAGCTAAACAACCAACACCATACTTGGCAGTACTAGGTGCCCACAGCATACTCAGCTTGAGTACTGGCAAAAGTCAAACTCTCAGCAGCTTGGATGATTGCGAATCTTTGCAACAAGGATATGGCATTGACCAAGTCAGATTGCGAAACGTCTCCCGACGAAGAGGAGGCGCGCATCTGCTGTTGCAGCGCCGCAGGCGTATAAGTACGCTGGGCAAACTGCGCATCACACTCATTCATCAGCTGCATCAGTGTAGCCCTTGCTGGTTGACCACTGGTGTCAAGAGTGAACTTGACGCAGTTCTGAATGCACTGCCTTTCGGTTACTGACCCTGGTGTGAGCCTTTCGCAACTCATCTGACGGCACCGATCCTCCACGAACCACACGCACGGCACGGATTCGTTGAAAAAGACCGCGTACCAGTTCTCCCCATTGGCAAGGCACCAATTGAATGGATCGCTGATCACACCCTGCATCGACTCCTGAAGCGCTCCAACCTGTCATGGGATTTGTGAAAGGCAACATAAATTAACATAGAATATCTCGAACGGAGGCGATCGTCTGGGACCCCACTGCTCTTCAATATCCTAATTACAAACCACAATGGAACCGAGCTGTGGTTGAACAAGATTGTGGGGTATACAGTAATACAGCGACAGCACTGCAGCAGAGATCATTGGCTGGAGACCCCATGCCTGTTCTGCTTGAAAACGCACGAGCCCGGCAATGGTAAACCAAGAAACCGTGGGTGTCAGGGTACCCTTATGAGCTTTGGTTTTTTTGCAGCAGGCACGATCTCCCCAGAACAAACTGGGCTGGACATGGACCCTGCCTACAAGAAACCCTACCCCCCTGTCTTCGTGTGAATTGTGCCCGCACCCTCACTCAGTTTCCAAAAATTCCAGCCCCGATGTCTTTAATAATTTACGCGCCTCAACTTGAAGGCCAAGCACCTCAACTTCTTAGCTTGGTCCATCTATAGGACATTCTGAGATCTTTCTCACTTGAGTATAGGCGACCGCAATTGAGTCGAGGAGCTGAAACGAGGCTGATTCCTCATTTAATTTGAGGGAGGGGGGCCTAAAGACGAGAAGCTGGATTCCGTGAAAATGCAGAGGCTGAGGGACTGGGGGGGGTGGAAATCTTATCTGAAACAATTGAGGCTTTCAATTGGCTGCTCAATCCGTCTGCGAATTCAGAAGTTGAGGACCCGGGCTTATTGATGTAAGTTTAAGAAGCTGAGGGGCTGGACATCTCCCGGCCTCAAAAACGATTTGCGAGAGAGTTCTCCGAGTCTGCTCAAACCCCTCCGTGCCAAAATCCACTCAGGAAGGCTGGATTTCTGAAATTTTGAAAATGAAGACAGGACATCCGAATCTGAGGACGGGGTTAGGGACACACACACCAATTCCAAAAATTGAGGGTCTGGATTTATTAAATTGGTACCCCCAGGGCTGGGCGGGAATTGAGAGGCAGGATCCTGCCTCGGGTGAACCATTCTGTATAGCAGGATGATGAAGCATCAGCTTCAGAATCTCCCGACTGGCAGCTCAAACCCCTACTTGCCCCAAACGAAAATTGAGAGGCTCGATTCGTAAAGTGCAAATTTTTCACATTGAGGCCTCAGCCCCAGAAATTGTTAACTCTGCTAGTACTACGTGTTCAAGGCAAAAAAACTCCTGGAAGGTATGGTTGAAAACTGGTAACTAGTGGATGCTCCTCTTCTTTAAGCTGGGGCCCGGCTGGGAATCCAGGTCCACAAAGACCCTTTCGTGGGCATCGTGGGGAGCAATGCTAGTGGCAGACTAGTGTTGTGCACCTGTTGCAGCATCTGCAGGTTCTCGCCAAGCTGGGAACCAGCCATGTTTCCAGTTGCTTGCATCGAGCTGACGCAAACATCCGCTGTAATTGCCTCCCAATCGACCATGGATCGAAGAGGAAATACGAGGAACAGCAGAAATGGCGGAAAGAAAGAAACCAGCCATGTCATCCGCACTACCCGCCTGCCCAGCTTGAAATGGGATGTTGCAGCACTGGGGCGAGCAAGCCATAGAGCCACAATGGTACCGAGAAGGGCCAACAGCGCCAAACACCACATACCAACATCAATACCCCGCAGTGTACGAACAAGGGGCGCAAAGCGGGAACGAGGAATGGCAGATCCGACCTGATTTTCCAAGAAGAGGCTATAGTCAGAATCGCTGAGCCATGGTGATGAAAGCACTGCTTGCACCAGGCCGAATACAAACCCTACCCACAGGTAAGAGTAACGCCAGGCCAAGTAGGGACCGACCACGCCAGAAGAGTAGTGCTCCTTTTCGGCACGCCGAGCCAGGTCTGTTGCAAACTCTCCAGTAACTGCCTCGGCCGCATCATCCCACAAAGCATTCCGTAGGACGCCGTACACACATCCGCACGCAGAACACATCGAGGACGAGACAGACTCGTGGTCAGTGTGTCGGTAGTACTTAGTACTGACCGACTTGAGCCACTTGGTCACTCGACCGAAACACGCGAAATAAAATTAAACTCTTCAAGTGCTGAAGACTTGTACGGAGGTTCCGCCCGAATGTCTGGAGTTTGGGTGACGATGGATGAAAGCTGTGGAGACAATGTGAAGGTTGTCCTGGAAGCCTTTTCTGCAGCAGCGCCACACCTCCCCCCCTGCTAACAATTCTCCCGAAGCTCAATTCTATCAATTCTATCAACTTGCCAGCACGCGTAACCAATATGAGCTCAGCCACGTCTTCAAAACCCGGCTGCCCTGCTTATGCAACTCTGAAAATGCTAGTCAGTGCAGAATCACAGCAAGTGCCGTTACAGGCCTCCTGGCCGTTCAGCTGCTTCGTGCAGCGCTTCTCCAGGGCTGGCCTGCACAACACAACTACAGTAACTACAGTGTAACTACAGGCGAATGAAGCAATGACCGACTGTGACGACTTGATGCAGGTGTCGTTTTCCTCAATGTCAAAGCATCGAAGAACAGTGACATCCAAGCCGTCGGAGTGCGAAGAGCTGATGCACTTGCTTGCCACGTCTTGAAGCATGCGAAATGCACCACCATCAGTCTCGCCCTCGGGATTGAGCGAGTTGAGTGGATCTGCAGCTCAAAGGAAGATCGCATTTGCGCAAGGTACTTTTGCTTTTGCTTGCACAGTCCTGAACATGCCACATCCAGAGTACCCGAAAGCCACTTGCGCAAAGGCTGCCAACGATGATAGATCGTGAATTCTGCCAATTTTCCAGCACTTGAAACAAGCTCATCTCCTCATGAGCTGTTCATAGGGGTCAATACAGATACAGGCTCACGTCAGAGCAGCTGGCAATGCCACCCCCTCCCCCAAAGTGTACCCTTGTTGCTTGATGTTGCTTGCATGTCTGCAGTGGTTCAGCATACCTTGTTTGTCACGATTCTCAATTTTCGGGGTGGCCACAAGCTCAACGAAGGTTAACCTCAGACCCTTTCAACGCTTCAGATCGACCTTGCTGGGGCTGATTCAGACACCGATTTGCTTGGAGGGAGGGGAGAGCTGTGTTGGGGACAACGCTGCGAGACTCAGTAGGGCATCTCCCCAGGCAGATGCGTCTTGAACCTGGCAAGCGCTAATGTAGGCTTTGTAGGCTTTGTGAGAAACGCATTCTGGGCCAGAAGAATCCAGTCAGCAGACTGCAAAACTGGCGGAGTGTCGGTTCTGCGACTTGCGAAACTCGGCGTCGATGGCCCAGCAGTGACGGCAATTGCCTTAGTGACTTGAGGATGGGCTTTGTAGCAGCAGTGGCGCAACGCCCAAAACCAGTCCCAAAGCAGAAATTGACTGATTGAGATCGGAGAGCCTGAAAGATTCTGAAGCATGTGCAGTTTGGCTGGTTTGAGCCTTCTGCGTTGGTGGCACAGGCGTCTGCTTCGCCTCTGAGAGGTGCATGCCCTGGCCGGCTTCTATACATGTGTCAGATGTGCCCTCGAGCTTGGCGACCCGCGACCCCCGTTGTGTTGGCACAAGCCCTTCCGCTGGCAGTGTGCGATTTGCAAAGGCGCACACTTGTGCATGAATTCTGTATGTAGTCATGTATTAGTATGTGTAGTATGGTCACATGTGCTTAGGTTGGTTTCAATTTCCCCTGCCACGGTTTTATATGGAAAGTGGTACTGCTCTTGCTAACTTCAACTCTGTTGCACGTCATAATCAGTCTGTATGTCCTACTGCTACACTGCAGAAAGCTGGCAAGGAATGTCGAAAAAAAGGAACTGCAATATATGGTCCCAATGATCAAAACAGAAAACGCCACTTTGGTGATACTGGCAGCAGTCTGCCAAGAATTCATCTTGAAGTTCATGCTACAGGTGCTACATCGCACTACGCATACCCGCACACGTAAGCGGCTTTCGGCTCAGGCTTTAGGGTGCACATGACTCTTAGATGGCTCTGGAGGGGTCTTGGGGAAATAGTCGTGAATCCTCCTGTGAACGTAGGCGCCTCATCCCATGAACCTGGCAAGCGGGTCCTTGCACGTTTCAAGAAATACTCAATCCATTTCAAGTCTGGAGTCAGTGGACTCTCTCAAACTCAGCTCAGACTAAAGCGATGGAAACGGTTGCGGAGGGTGATGTTGGCACTTCAAAACTGGCTCCACGTGACTCACATATGACATATGCAAAATGTTGGCTGATGTTGGCCGCTCTCCTGTGCTGCAGCACGTCGTCATCTTCCGTCGGCAAGCTCATAAGCAGTGGATTTCCTGCCAAATGCAACCATTGGCCGCCACGAAGCCAGAGCAGAGCGGCTAATTACATGTGTAACTGCGCTGTCCGCATGCAAGACACAGGGAGCATCAACATCACATCTACACATAGCCAACAGTCCGTGACCTGCATAGTGTGGGCGGCTGGGTATCTGCATGGCAGTGTAGCCCTGCCAGATTCCAATTGGGTCAATTGGGACTGCTGGTGCGCTTGAAGAAAGTGATTCGAAAGTGGCACACATAGTCACATAGTGTGCTGGGCAGAGCCAGAGCCAAAGCCAGACTGAGACACTGCCTCGGATGCGCCGGAAGACTTTGGACAGAAGAAAGCTGATGTCACGGAGTCCAGCACCTCGGGCATCAGAATGTGCTCTGGGATCTCTCTGCGACATTTGCAGGACCATAATAAGACAGATTCGCGTTGCAACAGCATACATCCTTGGCTCCCCAGCATTCACGGTGGAGCGATATGCGCCAAGCAGCCACAGGGTGCGCTCGATCTTTGGTTGATTCTCATCCTACGGAAGTGAATTGAGCCCGTGCTAGCAACACAGTGCGGTACGACCAACGTCCCCGCGTTGCCTCATCACCGCAGCTGCAGCGGAAAGTCTGGCCGTTCAGCTTTTCAACGCACTTCACGCCTCAAAACCGCTTACTCCTTGCGGCTTCCAGTGTGCGCATGTCAAGCGTGCTCAGCAACTCTATACTGCCAGAAATGTGCCCGAAGCTTCATCAAGCTCTGAGAGATAGTTCTCGGCCCTCAGAACTACTGTCTGTAAGAGCCTCACACACAGCCTTGGAGCACTTGGGGCAGTGATGATCGAAGAACGACTCCAATGCCTCCGCGAAGTGTCGAATGAACTGAAAGAGAGACATGGGAAATTATGCCGGGCAATCTGCAATCTGCTCCTCACTACATTGAAGTATCACCACATCCTGAAAGGATACCGCAAAGAAGTAATACATCGTGAGAATGAACCCCCTCAAACGGAACAATTGTGGACCACGTGCCCTTCGCAGAGAAAATGCGCCCTGTGCATGGCCATTGTCGAGATGCAGATAGACGAGCCAGGCAACGCTCGACAAGAATCACAGACAATGAGCGATCCCCAATTACCGGACGTTTACCGGCTTCCACAGGCCTCCATGCCCTGCACATCGTGCAACGAGAAGAACAGAACAACAACGACACCCTGACAAGTTAGCATTGAACAAGCGCATAAAACTTGCCTCTTGGCATCGGCTGCAGCTACTCGGTGCCTCAGCTTTTCAAGTGTTTATATACAGAGTAAAGCGAGTTTGTCTGCTTCTCAAGCTACTTATTGTTATGGCTGTGCAGCATACTGAGCGCGCATGAAGTATTGAGGTGCCCAGCCGAGTCCTGACAAAAGCTGCCGAAGAGTCCGCACCTTGTAGAGCGTAAGCACAGCTGACACAGCTCTACTGTAGATCTCCCAGGCGCTTTGAAAAATCATCACATGCTTAGCAGGCTTAGCAGTGTTCCAACCGTTCCCACATCTGTGCATCTGAGCACCAAGCCACTGTTTCGGTGAGCAGTGTGTAGAGCAACGTGCACCAGTTCGACCTTCACGGTCCTGAGGTAGCAAAGGAATTTAATCGACCTTACGTTTCTGGATTTTTCTGGAGCCAAGATTTGGGCCCAACACCTGGGAGAAGTGCAGCCACTGACGATGGACAGGGTCCGTTGCTTTTCCGGTGTCCTCCTCTCCCAGAGAGAGTCAGGCTCTAAGCTTTGCTGAACTGCTGAACATCTGGACCGCAACTGTCTCACAAACATGCTCATGCACTGGATCAAGCAACATGCTCAAGCACGGAGCTTGCCCTGACCTGGAGAGGTGATATGCCAAGCGGAAAATCGGAGTGCTCCCGCAGCCTGGGCCACAATATACGAAAACATCGAGAAGCTTACTGCTCGTCGTCCTGTCCAATGTGATGGGGCTGGCGGTGAGCATCATATGATAACCTCTGTCCCATATCTATCGTAACTGGCCATTTTGGACCCAGTCCCAGTCGTCCCTCTGGGATTGAAGCTCCGTTTCTGGACCCGAACCCCAGCTAGACACGACAATTCCAGACTCTATCCCGGCAAAACGAGAGGTCGTTTTTCGGATTCAAGGAGCTCCACGCCAGAACATGCCATTCATTGGGAGGTCTCTCGAAGTAAAGTGAGCTTTTCCAATTTCTTGTTTGTTTTCTCGATGGCTGGCTTCCACACTTCATCTTGAACGGCTGGCACGAGAGCCTGCTTTGAGAGCTTTCATTCGGCATCACCAGCATCCTGACTCCCTTTCCAGATGTGACGAGTAGCTTCGTTAACGTCATCGCCCAGTGTCAGGAGCCCCTACAATGTGTGTTTGCCAGCGCATCCTGCGGATGGTTCTGGGCAGACAGCCAGGATCCGAAGCAAAGATGGGCACAAAAAGGGCGAACATGAAAATGAAAACCAAGTTCCTGGTGAAGGCAAGCTAAGGGGAAAGACAGGTCGCAGAGGGGCGAAGGAGGCGGAGAAAGAGCCGGAGCAGTACATCCAAGCATAGCTATGTATGTGCGTGTGTACATGTACATCATGCACATGGCCGCGCGGACAGAGCATACATCTGCTTCCCCCTTGATAATGTGTTCGATGCAGGCTGAAGCTTCTCAGGAACACTCAAAGCCGAGGAGCAAGTCATCGGGTTTGATAGGTGCTCCAGGTGGGAAGTTTGGGTTGAAGGCTGCGAAGGCTGCCATGCCAGCAGCTTCTTCTCCCAAGGCCTGGTGCAGAGACAAGGAAATCTAAATGCAAGGACAACAACACAGCAACACAGCCCAAGAGCAGTATACATACTCACACCTGCGATCTACGAAAATAGTTCTCGCGTCGAATGGCTTGACTTCGCGCATGTGTGAGGAGTGAGGACTCATTGAACGACCTAGCTTCAATGCCCCGGCCTGTGACCGAGGAGTTTCATAAGCACGCAGATCTTTCACAGCAGGCAAGTTCTGCCAACTGGGCACCTGCAGGTACATTATGGTACAGCCATGTACAGTCTGCAAGCCTACGGTGGGCCCATGCAAGCGAAGTTCCCTCAGCAACCATGAACGCATGACAAAGGTCTTCACGCAACGTC